TTTTTGAGCTCAACCTCTTAAATTTATGACCAGTCTCTGCGCTTTTTCCCTATCATTCCAATTGTTCAGATTAGCAACCATTTCAAAATGTATCATGTAATCCTCTAAATCCCATTTCTGATCATCATATTTCTCAACCTGAGCTTTTTCTTTTTGTCCTACACACATGCACATTGGGGCATTGTTTAATGCTTGAGTATTTGAATGTTGATAATTTGAGTAACCTGCAAGATTACTTGCATTTTGTGAAGATCTGTGAGGCATAAGCTGTTGTTGAACATTTGCTTGGCACTTGTGAGTTATGATAGTTATTTTGATATGGAACGTTTGAGTATGAGGAAACGTTTACTTGTGTTGGATATTGGTATTGACCTTGATCAGCAAAGCTTGAAGCATTTTGATACTTTGATGGAGCAACAGGATGTCCTGTTGAATATGAATAATCCCTGTGACTTTGTGTTTGAATAGGTTAATAATAGGTTTAATTGGGGGGCTTATTTAATGTAGAGATAAATTAATTAGATAAATATGAGTTTTATCACATTTTCCCCGGGGACAAATGCCAGGTACCCTATGTCGAAAATAAAATGGATAAGCTCAATATTTACAACTTTATACTTAATATTTTTCTCAATGTCCAAAAAAGTTTTGCTTTAGTGTATAGAGTCCTTAAATATAACCCAATTCAGAGCAAATCATCTAAGTTGCTGAAATAATTTTGATTTTCAACATGTAATTTTATACGCGTTTTAGAACTGTAAATATAATACGTTTTAGTTATTTATTCAACTTGTCCTTTGACTTTTTTTTCACAGCGATTGCTGGTATGATACAGACACGAGCCATAAGTCACCGGCAAAAATGACGTCACGGCGTTTGTTTATGTTGTGTTACGGGATTGTGTAAATGGAAAATAAATATAATAGTAAAATAACATAACTGTGTTCCTGTGTTCAGTATTTTGTCAATCCTCCCTTCACCCTGATAACTTTTCTCATACGGTAACGCCTTGGTAAAGATCTGTAGAGGCCCTCCCTGTATATATTCCACTGTCAAAGCTTGCCACACCTGTGTTATTGCATATGAAAGTTCAGCAATGTTATCAGCGCGACATTGCAATCGTCTTTTAAGTTTTAACCACACATTTTTTTATTATATTCAAATCAGGCGACTGTGCTGGCCAGCTTATAGAATTAATATTATTCCTACCATTATAATTTTCAACATCCCTGGTTCTATGTATAGGCATTGACATCTTGAAACAATTAAGAAAGTGCTATTATGGGTCATAAATTATTTTCCAAGATCTCAATATACTTGTGTCTGTTAATAGTACCGTCAACAGTTGTTACAGTTCCCACACCAGTTTATGCACCCCCAAATCAGAACACTGACCTTTCGTTGAGCTGGGGGGGGGGCACACGCACTCGGGAGACTCCTTGCGACGCCATATGAAAATCCTCTGATACGCTTCCTAAACAACTTGCTTGGCTTTCTTCAATAAAAATGACCTTTTTTTCATTTGCCCCCATTTTGATTTTTGGCCGATGACTTATGTGCCGTAAGTCATCGGCAAAAAATCAAAATGGGGGCAAATGAAAAAAAAGTCATTTTTACTGAAGAAAGCCAAGTTGTTTTGGATGCGAATCAGTCTGTATGCACGTCCGACGTGCCTTGCAAATATTTGTTGCACGTAGGAAATAACGAGGAAGCTTACCGTCAATTTAATGTCCCTTGCATCGGATTCTGCCAGGTCAAAAAGTATGGACGTTTTTCATTCATTAAAAGACGATTGCAATGATTTAATTGATTGATTGGTTGTAAGTTGATTTACTTCCCATTCGAGAATTTGTTCACTCATATAGGGACGTCACCACATACCGATGAAGGGTTTCAAATTTAGACCTTTACTCGACACTCAGTGTCATTGAGCAGCGAGGTTTCTTTATCGTGCCAACGCCTACCGTGACACGGGGCCTCGGTTTTTAAGGTCTCTTCCGAAGGACCCGCAACTTTCACTTCAAAGTGCCGAGCGCTTGGCGAAGGAACAGTTGCTACCTATTTTTTCTTTTATATAGACTCAGGTCTGTCGCGGCCGTGATTCATACACACGAAGTTCCGATAACCGAACAGGCGCTCTATGAGAAGAAGCGATGAAAAAGGTGCAATTATATATAATATCCGTCTCTATTAGGCACAACCAGGGATTTTTTTACCCTTTGATTCCAGCGACCGGGGTCATAGAAATTGGGAGAATAGCGATATTTGGTTAAAATTAGGAAAAATATCTTCATACAAATAAATAGAAAAAACAAGAAAAAAGTCAAATATTTAATAATTTTTATTATTTAAAGAATGAAGCTGGCTTAAATCATAATTAATTTTCTGTCTTTTGCAGAAAAAAACCAATCACATTTTTTTGCAACAGATTTTCACTAAGGTTGGTTTGCCCCTCATGACACAGCCTCATTAAAGCATCCAAAGATGATGCTGTAAGTCTGCTCCTAAGTGGTGTGCATAAGCCATTCATAAGGGAAAAGGATCTCTCAACTGCTGCGGTTGATGCTGGAATAATCATACACAACAGTAGTAAATACTACATATTTGGAAATGTCCGTTTGCCCGATCATGACAAGGATCACACGACAGTTGTAAACTGTCGACAGGAGATGCTTTCACATCCATGGCAACTGATCCCACCTCTGATGCTTTTAGAGGTCCGTGTTTGTTCTGCTCCCGATTAGTAATGGTTCAATGGACATTTGAGCTTGCTTACTGTTTGTTAATTCAATATTTCATTCAGATAGAATTTTTCATTTCTGCAACTTTTAACCTTCCTTTGTGTTTTATCAAAGCTATATAGCAGACTAGCTGATTGATATTCTTTCCATGCAATTACTTCCGAGGTGTAATATCTCTAAAGTATAATTTTTGACATTTAACATTGCTTTTTCTATTGGATGTTGAGATAACTCTTGAAAATTCACAGGCAGTTTTCTTTTCATTATTAATTGGTGCATCAAAATTGGTACCGTATAAGATTAACATTAATACGATATGAATTGACTGCATCAATAAATTCTTCTACAGAAAAAAAAATGAGAAAAGGGGAACTCCAAAATATAAAAATTGTTAGAAATCTAAACTTAATGGAGAAAAAATGATAATTACTAAAACCTTTGACAATTTTATGAATAAAAAGTACCTTCAAGGTTATTTTTCAATGCTATAAAATAGAGCGCAAGGAAAGGACTTATGACCAAGGTAATATTGATAAGCATAAAACGATCCATCGAGGAATACACATGCGTCCAAGCATGAACAAATATCATCTACTACTTGTTGCTGTAGGTCTTTTGGATACTCTTACAGGTAACAATTAAGAATTTCATGAAATAATTGAATTTTTTTATATTTGGTTTTTCGGATTTGATAAGCAAAAGTCAGATGGATAAAAAAGGTGGTGTCCTAATAACTTTGTTGGTATAGACATCCCTAGAAAGTGACAGAAAATATTTCTCTTTTTATATCTTAAAGTAATATATACTACAACCTGCATAGGCCTATTGATGGTTTCAGTTTAAAGTGGAAACTCACTTTATTGGGATCATAAGATGATATATTAACTTCCAATCTCATGTTTTTGATTTACAAAAATTAACGTGATTAAATGAAGAATGCTGACCTTGAAAAATAAAAAAATGATAATTCAATGTAATAAAGAATCTTAAGTATTTATAAGGATATTAGATAAAGTTCAGAAACCTTTACTCTAAAGCCGCCAGTTACATGCTTATCAAATAATAGATAATGGCAAATTGACGTACATATTATGTGTGTATTAGTGCTATCCAAAAGCAAAGACAACGTTTTATTCCCTCTGTTTAAAAATAAATAGATACCCTGCTTTGACTTATTTTAAACGTTAGATGCGTTTGATTCTACTGAGCTTATTGCACTCGTGGAATTGACACATGGTTGCATTCTCATTCTATTGATAAAACTATTTTATATTATTCTCAGTTACGTCCTGTTTGCTATCTCCCACTTCCATTGTTCATTTCATTTTGTATAGAATACATTGAAAATCTTTATCAAATTTGCATTGTACAATTTATTTTTGAACTATGTATCAGACTTGCATTGCATGCATATAGACTAAAGTCGAATAGAAGCAATAAATATTTTTTTAAAAAATGCAAGAAATGAAAAATTTCAATGTTTGACACAAAATGGCATTCATGTTGAATTTTAGCTTACATTAATGTAATGTAAACTAGAAAGCAAACTAGTTCGGACCTTCTATAAAAATTGAATCAGATTCAAAGCAATTTGACGTGCGTCTGAAATTGATTTGTGTTTCATGTAGAACGTATTTTTCATGTAGGCATTTGATTGAATCATATAAAATCTCCTTTTCCTATTTTTTCCGTTACAGCGGTTGATGGTATAATATGTATGTCAGACGCTCGTTGCAAGAATTTGTTGCACGTGGGAAATAACGAGGAAGCTTACTGTCAATTCAACGCCTTTCATGTTGGTTGCTGCCATGTCAGAAAAAGTACCAATACCTTTCAATCTGTTTCAAACTAATTGGCAATGATTTTTTTTTTAAAACAAAAATCATTTATATATTTTTATACATTACAATACTAAAATTCTATGTGTCAGAACTATGTCAGAAATTCTGTAATATGTAGTTGTCCTTCTTTAGAGTCTGCTCATTGGTCACATTGGGGTACTTGGGGGTCTTGTAGTGTGACTTGTGGATCAGGGGGAACACGGACCTCTACAAGAAGATGTATGGGTTCAGGAACATGTCATGGTTCGTCTTCGAGGACAGAAACTTGTGATCAATCATACCCTTGTCCAAGTATGCAATGGACATTTTCGCTTTATTTAAAAATATATATTTCAATTATTTGATTGCTGATATTATCAACAACATTTAGGGTAAAATGCCGAAAAGCCCAGTCAATATCAGTGTATTAATTTTTAAGTTGATGGTTTTCTGAGTGACTGGAATGGTTGGGTATCCTGTAGCCAGACTTGTGGCTGGGGGCAACAGACAAGGTCACGTGTCTGTCATCAACCTAAACATGGTGGTTCAGAGTGCAAAGGAGATTTGATGGACAGCAAAGCATGCCTTGTTAAACATTGTCCAGGTCAATATTTATTAAATTATTTTTAAATCATTTTTAAGGTCATCTAAAAAATATTAAATTCCTATAACAGGCAAATGACAAAATTTTATTTCCTAAAACACCTGCAATTTACAAATGCTTCATAGAGTTTGACTGTTCATATTTATAATCGATTGGATTTCAGAAAAATCTCAGAAGTAATGTATGTGGTCAATTAATCTCCAGCACGTGCTCTAATGAATATATTTTTGTTCTCATCTTATACAAGTAATCATAATGTGATGATTAATTATTCGATGATTGAAAACATTTTTAAACTGAACACCTGTGAGTATATTTTATCATAAAGTAATATAACTTTTATTTAGAGTGTTCTAAGAAAAATTTGAAAATATTTCATATTCTTTAGTATCATAAAAATGATACCATGTACTTAGATTCAAGTTTGCTATAATCATTTCTATGATACATGCAAGGGGCTTTTTAAGTTATCTCGAGTTTATGAAAGGAGTAAACGTATAAGATCTGTGGCATAAAAACCTTATGTGACAGTTAAATCCAGTTGCTATAATCAAAGTAAAAGCTAACATGGAAATAAATAATGATTTTTTATTACATTTTCAACAGTGAAATACTCTGATTTATTTATTGAATAAAAGTGATATTCTCTCACAGTGTGAAAGGATACCAAAATGATATTCTCTCACAGTGTGAAAGGATATCAAAGTAAGTAAAAAATAATTTCTGGCCTGTCATAAGATAGAGGTAGTAACTGACCATCTTGTTAGAGCTAAAACTACAAATTTCTTCCCAAATATGTTACTAAAATCCATGCTATGTAATGTTTTCAATCTCACAACTGCTAAGCTCTGACGTCTCAACCGCTCAACTATGACGTCAAGCCTATGACACTGTGTTAAGAGAAGACAGAGGCAAAGGGAAAATCAAAGAAAATGTAATAAACAGAAAATTCAATGTTTTGTAGATGAATATGGAATTTATTTCACTCGTGAGACAGGATTTTTTGATATTTTCATGAGTGCGAAGCACGAGTGAAAATATCAAAAAATCCTGTCCCACTCGTAAAATAAATTCCATATTCATCTACAAAACATTGAATATCCTCTATATGTTTTTAAGTACTAAATAAATATGTTCAGCCACATTTAACTTGATCTTGTTTCCATTCTCATTAATGTCTTACAAGAGAGAATAAAATGTACAGATTCATTGAGAGGCATTCAAAAGTGAACACTATAGAAAATCTACATTTTTATGATAATGTAGAAATTTTATTTATTCATCACATTTACAACCAACTTGAACTCAAAAATATATACCAATCAAAGCATTTTATTCTATAAAGTGTCTTTAAGTTAGGTGGCCTCTTGTCATGATTTTTAGCATTCACCATGTAGTAAAAATATGAGAAGTATTGCAAAAAAAAAATTCCAATATCACAATGTAACTGCTGTTGTGGATGTAATTTTAGTGAATGGTTGGACTGGAGATTGGAGCAGCTGGAGTTCCTGCAGCATGACTTGTGGTGACGGTCACATGACTCGATCACGTGTTTGTCATCCTCCACAGTTTGGTGGTTCACCGTGCACAGATAATTTATCAGAGTCAAAGAACTGTACTCAAACGCCCTGCGCAGGTAAGGACAACTTTGAGAGTGAAAAAAACGAAAGTGTAATTTCATAAATGTAATTGAAAATCAAAAATAAAGACATGAAAGTTCAAAGATACTTTTTGTAATATTCATCAAATGTCAAAAGTACCAAAATTCCTAAATATTTATGGTCATTTGTCCCGATACAATTAAGCCATTAAGACAATACTCAATCAGTTTTTGACAAATCTGGTTTTCAAATCAGAGATATTTTAGGATGTTTTTTATTGACGGTTATCATACTGTTTCAAAAAAGAAAATCTTACAAAATATTTTAAGAAGAAGATTATTTCAGAATAGGTTGGTTTGTAACATCCTTGCTCTTGAGAAAAGTCTTAATCAAATATGGTTCCACTTTTCCAAAGGCATTTACCTATAGAACCATGAAAGTGATCATTTGCAAGCAAACTTTATTGATTAGTTCAGTTAATTTACCTAGATAATCAAACAACAGTTACTTTATTTATGTAATATGGAGATTACGAACAATATTCAAGCGCAAAAGTTCATTTAAACAATACAAATTGGGAGCAGAGCAAACACGGACCTCCCAGAAACGTCAGAGGTGGGATCAGGTGCCATGGATGAGTGAGCATTCCCTGCCGACGCCGACCGGTCACATCCGCCCTGTGCTCTTTGTCATGATCGGGAAATAACGGGAAAATCCATCGACAAATCAGTGTGTAAATAATGGCCTAACAATTAGTTTGAAAAACGTCAGTCAGCATATGACTTAATGGTAGATTGTATTTGCTGACAAGGTCATTGTATCGACCATAGAAGATACGAAATGATGAATTTAAACGATACCTCGTTTTAGAAATTGTTCATACGTATAGCATGCTCTTGCCTATCGAATCAACTGAGAGATATAAGTATTAATAAGTATAAATAAGTTTTTAAAATAAGTATAAGTATTAATCAAATTTGGTAAGTTGATGGCCATTTGAGTAACTGGGGAACCTGGAGTCACTGCAGTGCGACATGTGAAGGCACGAGGAAACGGATACGGACCTGCATTCCTCCACAACATGGCGGTGCTCCTTGTCATGGAAGTACTATATCAGTAGAAAACTGTGGAGCAAGGTATTGTCCAGGTATCAAATAAAACTTGCTCTTGTTTCTCCTGAAGATCCTTTAAAATATATTCGATCTCATATAGTAATGAATTAGTAATGGATTTCAAATACCATTGAAAGGGAAAATTATTTAAGATTCAGGCTTATATTTCCTTAGAACTTTAAAGGTATCAGCATGAGTATTCTTTTAAAACACCTGAGTCACTCAGGTGACCTATTGCTGTCTGTTGAGTGTCGGTCATAAACTTTTGAGCAATTTCAGCTTCTTTTCTGGAACTGCAGAACCAATTTCAACCAATTTTGGCATATAACATCTATGGGCAATGGGGGCAAAATTGTGAACCTGAGGGATGGGGCTAAAGCATCAAAACTAGTGCTACTAGTATCTATAAAAATCTTCTTATTTACTCCAGGACACCAAGAAGTCAAACCATTGGCATAATTGTAATTAGCATTGAGCCCTCTACCAACATTGTTAAAATCATGGCGTTCTTGAGTTAGGGTGGGGCTCTAATGACAATGTAGTGAAAATGCATAAATTCTTAAAAAATCTTCTTCTCTCCCCTGTATATTAAGCAGATAAAATAAGTGCATGGTTATGAGGAGCAAGGGAGCTTCTTCTAAAATTATGAAATTTGTGGCCCCAGGTAGCAGATTTCTGATGGTGAGGGGCTTTATTGATTATATTTGGAAAATTCATTATTTCTTTGAAAATCTTCACTGCGCCTGAGTATGAAGCAAACAAACTAAGGTACAGTTATGGTGAGCAAAGGTGCCTCTTCCAAAATTGTAAATTTCAGGGCTCCATGGTCAGAGGTCTGGAGTTAAGGCGTGTTCTAATGACCATATATTGAAAATGCACAAATTCTTTAAAAGATCTTTTCTCTCTACCTTTATTCTACGCAGATAAACAAAGTGAATAGTAGTGATGAACAGGAGTGTTTCCTCCAAAACTGTGAATTCAATGGAACCTGGGCTCGTGCTGTGGTATTAGGGTTGGCTCTACTGATTATGCATTGAAATATTGAAATATATATGAATTCAATGAAAATCCTTGGCTTTTCTGGCAGATAACTAAATGCATGGTTAAGATGAGGAAGAGTGGTTCTTTCAAACTTTGTGAATTTCGTGGTACGTACCTGACTCGGAAGTTTTGGTGCTAGGGCAAGGTTCCTTAGATCAGATAATGAAAAAGCTCTTTTAAAAGTTCTTTAAATAACCTTTCCTAGTTCTGTCCCAGGGTATTTAACAGACAAACTAATTTCATGGTTATGATGAGCAAGGATGATTCTTCCAAAATTATGAAATTCATATCCCCTTGGTCAGGTGTTTTGGTGTTAAAAGATGACTTTGTTGATTATATAGTGAAAATGCATCATTTTTATAAAAATCTTCATCTTTGCTCCCGGTTATTAGGTAAACAAATAAATTGATTATGATTATGATGAGCAAGGCGCCTCTTCCAAAACTGTGCATTTCTCAACCCTTGGGTGAGGGGCTCTGGTTTTAGGGTGGTGCTCTATTGATTATATCTAGTGCAAATGCATCATTTTTTTAAATCTCCTCTGTTCCTGGGTATTTAGCAGATAAACTAAGATTATAGCTACATGTACGATGAGCAAGATTGTGAATTTCCGTCGGTCAGGGGTTTTGATGTCAGGGCATGGCTGTGTTGAATCTATAGTGTAAATGCTTTTTTTTTTATTGGATATCTTCTTCCCTGCTCCTGGGTATCTAGCAGGCAAGTTATTAAAAGCAAGGGTATTTTTACCAGATTTTTGAAATTCTGGACTGTTTGGTCCAGTGTCCTGGTGCTGAGCAGGGCTCTATTAATTTGTATTCTACTGAGAGAATCTGTTCCCCTTCGTTTTTCATCTATGATTTTAAATCACTGTAAATAATCTAATTGAAGATTAATTCAACATTACAGAATTATACAAATTTTTTTATTATATATAATACAAAAAGTACTTTTATAATTTTTAGAGTTCATGTCATATTGTATTATTTGATTTACCGTGTAGTAGTTAATATAAAAATTACAATTTGACAAGTTATCATATTATAATTTCCGTATTTGCTATCACCAAGTAAATTCATAAATAACAATATGACAGTCAGGTTGACTTGCTAAACACGAGACAAATATGTTTGTACATTTACTGCTCTTCAAAGACCAAGAGAGGCCAATGTGAGAGGGAATGAGATGGGTTTACTAATAGAGCTCAAGAACTATTGTTTTGTCTAGTTTGCATGGTGACTGAAACTCGGGCACTATTCTTTTGTTTAGTTTTATTTTGATAGTGACAAATGGGGGCAAGTAAGGCAAGTAAATAAATCTACTTTAAGATTTGTTCCTGAGTACCAGACAAATTATTTTGTTGGTCTATGGCTATCCTATTTCTTTTCTTTTTGGGTAACATAGCTTCATCTGTCAGTTTGATTTGTTTATTTTATACTTCTTTGGACCATTTACATTGTACGTTGTACTATACGCAGGTGACCGTTGAGGACCTTGTGCCTATTGTTCAGAACACTGGTGTATGGATATGTTTTACTCGGTTGATTATTCTTGATTTATTAGTATATTGATTTTATTCTAGGTCAATTGGGTCAAATTCCTCCGTAGATATTATCTTTTTTTTTAATTTACTTTGAATCTTCATACAAGTCTTACAAGTCAATGAAACATTAATTCCTTCTAATAACATAGTAAATCGCTTCTGATTCGCTTTAAGTGATTAATGAGTGGTAGAAATCTTCAACCTGAATCCATTATGAGTTACAGAAACATACATCGTATACCCATTATCATGCCTTATTTCTTAATCCATTCATATTTTTGGAGATAAGAAACTGGGAAACTTGTAGTCACAAATATAAATTCAAAAGGTATAATCTTCTGTAAAGGCAAATAATACAAAGTACTTTATGTTTTATTGGCTGTCTTTATAACATTTAATTATAAGAACATCGGAAAACGGTAATTAAGAGTACATATGTTCTGATTTAAAGTGGATGGTATTTTAACCACCTGGGGGATATGGACACCATGTAGTGTCACCTGTGGGGGTGGATCTCAAGTTAGATCGCGGGCATGTATCAATCCACGTCATGGTGGTAGAAGCTGCATCGGTCCATTATATGAAATGCACAATTGCAAAATGTCTCCATGTCCAAGTAAGTGCACATATCCATGTGTTTAGTTATGACACGTAAATAGACAAGTATTATATTGTTCCATTTTGAAACCTTAGTCTTTGTTTTATTGATTGGTTAGATTTCTTTGACTACATTTCAGTTTATTGTCTATTCTCATACAGCCCCTACAACCACAAAGCAAACAACAACCCCCACAACACCACATCAAAATACATCACCTGCAGGTAAGGTTTTCATTCCCTAGTAGGAATATACATGTATAGAGCTTAAAATAAGGCAAATTATAATCATTATCTCATAACCATCTTCTGATTCTTTCAAAAAAAAAAAAAAAAAAAAAAAAAAACGTTGAAAATGATAGATAAATTTTAACATCCTAATTCTTATATTGTCCAAAGAACTGATCTACTGATTTAGGTTAAAAATACATTGGAAACCTTTTTCGGTAACCCACATTTGATTTAAAACTCCAGCTTAATCACACAAAGGCCAATATGTATAGCAACAAAATAAATGAATTAGTCCTAAATTAAACTAGATTGGGACAACACACTTGTAGTTCAAGTCATCATTTTCGACATAAGGAAGATGGAATATAAGTCAACTGAATTCCACCATCTCTTTCAGAAGAAATTAGACATTTATTAACCCATGTTATGTAAGTCTGGATGTTGATACCGGATTTTCTCCTTAATTTTAACAAGAGGCTTATGCACAAAAATATTCACTTGACTAATCTGATCTTTCCCTTATCAATAAATTTGAAGAAAAAAGAAACCTAATATTGTTGACATCAATAAAATCTACGATTCCAATTGTTGTTATTAATAGTATACTGATATTCGAGATCGAATTTACAAAGTGAAGACATATTCTTCTTGCAGAGGTTATATATTTATATGTTAAACTTTAAAACCCCCTTGTGGTCCAAACATAGCCCTGAGGGTCATCATTTGAAGAAATTAAATTTAAGTTAATATCAAATGAAAATATCTGTAAGTAATGACACTGTTCATGTGATTTTTTAAAAATAGATTTTTCGTGTTTATATTTATAGAACGGCTTTTGTGACCACACTTCACCCCAGGGGCCATGATTAGAACATACTTTAAGTTAGATCTTTACTTTGGAGCTGCTTGCTTCATAAGAAAATATATTTCAGAATCCGATATTTTCACATGAAAAACTCTGGGCCATTATTGTAATCCATCGTTGCCCTTGGAACCTTGGTGTAAACATACTTGAATCTACATTTATTTATTGTTATATACTTGGATATTTAAAATGTGATTAGTTATCGTCTTGAGCTTGTTAAGAAGATATTTAACGAATTTACACTTGTAGTCTAATGTAAAAATTTCATCCCCTATTGTTTCTCAATCATAGCCCAGTTCCAAGTCAAGGGGCCACAAATTTAACAAACCTGAATCTACTCTCAAGAGAAACTTTCTTCTAAGTTGTCTTTTTTTACCAGGTGGTTCTAAAGAAGCTTTTGTTTTCAAATTACCCCTTAAGTTTTTTTCCTTTTATCTCCCTTTAAAGAAGGAGGACCGCCTTCCATTAAATCAAATTTAAAGTAACCTCACCCAAGGATGCTTCAAAAAATGTAATTAGAAGTGGCACACTGGTTCTGGATGATTTCTAAAATGTGAACATTATGAGACACATTCAGAAAATTAAAAGAATTTCACACAAACGACGATCAAAAAAGTTATCTTGAGCAATTGAGTTCTTTTTTCACATTAGGATTACCTTGTCCAACCTGTGATGATCAAATGCAATGTACTTGGAATACTGTGTGTGACAGTTCTGAAAGCTGTATGATCCGAGCCTTTCCCGGATTTCAGTTTTCTACACACTGCCTTCCGGTAAGTGAAACAGCCATGATAATTTTATGTAGTTGCATTACGCTTAATAGAGTTACATGGCAGTTTTTTTGTACACAGTTTGAAAACATGGTAACACATTTCCCAGGGGTAAATAAATTCTGAGAGTTCAAAGTTCTTTGAGACAACTCATTCTGTATCCAGACACGTTGCAACCAATATAGAAATGAAGAAATAATTGACGAAAAATAATTCGACAAGTAATTCTCTCTTCTTCTTTTTTTTTTTTTAAAATTGACCAGGAATTTGAAAAAAAAAAAAAAAGTCTTTTGAATTTTTTTTTTTACTTTTTAAACATTGATACTGATTTTGGACTTTGTGAATGGAAGAAATAAATTCAAGTGAAATACATGATATGCATAGTTTTAAATAGTTTTTATTTATTTATTTTTTATCAGAGAGATGACTGTGTTATAATAAAGTCACTAGCCAAATCAAAAGGAGAGGTATTCTGTTGCGACAGTCGGAGCTGCCTGCGGAATTACTTAGGCATTTGAATGTAAATTAACTTAATAAATGAAAATGTCCAGCTATTCTTATTTAAGGAATGAATTTAATAGCTACTCAAGTTATACAGTGAAACTGGGTTTGGGTAGTTTAAGCTTCATAAACCGCGAAGCGCGGTTTGTAAAAATGCGTAAACTAGAGTAGCCCACTTTATGCTGTATAAATGGGTAGCTATTAAATTCATCACTTAGCCTATAATTTGATTTTCATTCATTCATTCATTACATTCATTTAGTGTAAGAAAAGAAGACAAATGAAGAAGAAGGAAAATGATACTCAGTATTTTTATTGCTAGGGTTCGTATACCACATTATTTTTTAAATAAAACAATAATTTTTGCCGAGAAGATTTTCCTCAGAAAAGTTTTGTTTGTCATAATTTAATAAATTTCAATAATGAGAACTCTACTCTAAATACTAAATTCACAGCCTGAACATGAATTTTATATATCTGAAGCTATAGGCATTCTACACGCCTTGTTCACTCATCTCCTTCATGCAATTCTAATATATAGCAAACACAACACTCATTGCTTTAGAAATGTGTCTAAACATTGCACTTCTACGGTATACACTGGTGCAGGAAACTTAACTGTTAAAGCAGACTAAAAAGTATAAGACGTGATAGGAACCGCGAAATGACAGCTATTACACACGCTAATATTTAAACTTATTCCAAAATATGTAAACAATACATGTAGATAGACTTCGAAAGTGCACCGTATGTTCTGTTTTAGTCTAAACTTGTTCCAGAGATTTGAATCTTTACCATTGTTTTTCCAACATATTGTCCTAAATATTAACAACTAACTGAGTACAGACTTAATGTTGAAAAAGACGACTTCAACTTTTCTATCGTCAACTTCCCTTATTTATCTAGCAATATACCAATATCACCTGCATGTGAGGTTTATGTCTCATAGTTGATTCGATACGCAAGAGCATGTTCTTCCTACGAACGATTTCTAAAGTTGATAATACAATGGTATCAATCTCGTTTGAAGTCAACATTTGTCACATACAATGACCCAGTATGTAAATACAATCTTTCTTTTGGACGAATGGCGATGCTGTCTGACGTCTTTCATACAAATTGTAAGGTCATTATTTTCATACTTTCTCCCTTTTACTCGATCATGACAAGGAGATTCGAGTTGGCTCTGCTCACAATTTGTATATATTGTTTCAATGGAATTATTGAGCATGATTGCCATTCATCTTCATATTTCGCTTTCCTCGTGATTTTAAAGACAGAAGTCACATTCAGAATTAGCATGCACGCTGAATACATTTACTGTATGCAATGAATATCAAATCGGTCTCAGAGAACCAAGGTATTCAGAGACTTCTTGCTAAATGTAAATTTAAAAAAAAACGCCCTAGAAACTTATCATTCTTGCTTTGAGCGAATCCTTGTCAAATAACGACAGTTTCCTCCTATAAACCATAAAACTTTATGAGAGACTTCCCATTCAAATCTTAATGAAAAAAATGGCATTTTGATCTAAGCCTTTCTAAACTTCTAAGAGTCAGAAGTCATGACCTATGAAAAAAAAATCTTTTAGAAAAGACATAGAACAATTGTCCTTTTGTTCCCTGATTTCGCTCAAAGATGGGGAAAATAATTTGGTGTGCCTGTGAAATTTTTATATAAATTATCATATTTCCTTGTGACTCAGATTAGACTCGTATTGTTTTTAGGTCAAAAGCTTATGTAAGAATTTTGAAAATTGCGTAAAAATGGTTTCCTAATAATAACTTTCATAGAAACATAAGTTCTCTCTGAGTTTTTGCAGCTGTTGAAATTTGCCTTGTCGTTTTGCTTACATGTAATACAGGTTTGCCTGTATTTTGAAAAAAAAAAAAATTTCAGAGTTTAGAATTTTTTTCACACACACAAAAAAAGACATAGGGCACTTCAGAAAATTTTAATAAAAATTATCAACCTCTTTAAAACACGGCTATAATTCAAAAATGTTTTTCACAGTAAACAATATGCATAGGTTCAAACAACTTGATATATGAGAATCTGGTTAACAATTAAGGAGAGATAATCAAGATTATGTATATAATTACCTAGGCATTAGTTGGTTGCAAAGTAAATACCTACAACATATAAACTAGTATTTCAAAATGTAAAGGTATTCATTCGATCAAGAGAATAAATAGTTTTCGTCATATTTCATTTTTGAATTTAATTTGATAAACATAGATCAATTTTTTAAATAAATACATGTACTTTTTAAAAATTAATTCCTATAAAGCTTATCCTTGTTGTTGTTGTTGCATCTGCTGCATAAATGCGTCGACTCCAACTGAAACGGAAAAAAATTATTTTAAAAAAATCCGAAATTTAAATATCTATTTAAAACTTTATAGAAGCATAAGTATATACCTTGTTGATTAAATGTCATTGGATTGAATCCAGCACCTCCTAAACAAATAAAATCAAACTTTTTAGAAATTCAAACAAACACCAGTGTATTTAAGTTTTATGGGTTTCATTAAAGCATAAAAAACAAATACCTGTGGATGATGCTCCACTCATCACGTTCTGCATAGCCTGCATCAGGGCCTGGGGACCTTGCAACATTAACTGATAAAAGTTTGATCCACTTGAAGATGAAGAGGATCCCCCTGAGGATACACCGGAAGTAGAAGATGATCCACTGGAAGATGATCCTCCAGATCCACCAAAATTGATATTAAGTCCACCAGATAATCCAACGCCAGTCCCACCATTCAAATTTCCGCTTATTCCTACACCTCCAATATTGGTAGACCCACTGAGGCTTCCACTGATTGCACCAGAATTAGCGTTAATATTACCATTGAGTGTTCCTGTTCCAGTGTTGAGGGTACCACTAGCGCCACCGCTAACGCCACCAGGACCAGCATTTACGTTACCACTAAGGGAACCTGATCCAGTATTAAGAGTACCGCTGGCTCCACCGCTAACAACACCAGGACCTGCATTGATATTGCCACTAAGAGAACCTGATCCAGTGTTCAAGGTTCCACTAGCACTGCCGCTTACACCCCCAGGACCAGCATTTATGTTGCCACTCAGGGAACCAGATCCAGTATTAAGAGTACCGCTGGCTCCACCGCTAACACCACCAGGACCTGCATTGATATTGCCACTAAGAGAACCTGATCCAGTGTTCAAGGTTCCACTAGCACTGCCGCTAACACCCCCAGGACCAGCATTTATGTTGCCACTCAGGGAACCAGATCCAGTATTAAGAGTACCACTAGCACTACCACTTACACCATTTGGACCTACTGTGACACCTCCCGTGAGACTCCCTAACCCACTACTAACAGAACCACCAAGCCCTCCACTTACACCACCAGGCCCAGCGTTAACATTGCCATTCAGAGTACCAACACCAGTATTAAAATTACCACTTGCACTACCACTCGTCCCATCTGGTCCAACATTTACATTACCACTGAATGTACCTGATCCTGTGTTTAGCGTACCACTAGCTCCACCGCTTACACCATTCGGACCGACAGTAACACCACCACTTAAACTTCCAAGACCACCACTCACAGATCCATCCACACCACCGCTTATGCCCCCGGGACCAGCATTAATATTACCAGTCAGTGAACCAGACCCTGTGTTCAAAGTACCACTAACATTACCACTAATCCCACTGGAACCTGCATTGATATTGCCATTCAGAGAGCCTGATCCTGTATTGAGAGATCCACTGGCGCTACCACTCACACCGTTAGGCCCAATCGTTACCCCGCCACTTATGCCACCGGCACCAGTGTTCAAAGAACCAAATACTCCTCCGCTAACGCCAGTAGGTCCTGCATTTATGTTACCATTTAATGTTCCAGTTGATCCTAAATTTACTGTACCACTGGAGGAACCACTCACACCGTCTGGTCCAGCATTAAGGCTTCCACTAAGGGAACCAGACCCTGTGTTTAAATCTCCGCTGACACTTCCACTTACCCCATTTGATCCAGCGTTGAAATTCCCTCCAACAGAACCCTTTCCTATTTCGACGTTCGCATTCCCTGACACTCCATTTTGATCAACACTTAAACTTCCAACTGGTGTGTTGATAGAAACCCCGTCCAATAATAGTCTTTTCTTTACTATAAGAAAATTCAGAAAGTAACACTCACATGACACTGAGTCCTTTTTTTTCAATTTTGATAAATAAAAAATATTGATATATTTACGATTTTATGTCTTTGACCGTATTTTAATTTACCAGTCAGGTGTTAGAGGTAGGCTTTTTTTTTTTAAATATTGACATTCTTAATCATGTGCATGCATTCAGATTTTTTTAAATTCCTCTAAACGATGTCCTTGAAAATTAAAATACACTCGGTTATACAAACAACCGTAATTTACATTTCAAAAGAAAAGCTATTTGAAAGGTATTGCATTTCCATGACATATCCTAAATTTATCTTCTTGTTTATTGTGGATGAGTATTGCAGGCGACACGTATGTTGCTTGATTCACTTAAGTATTATACTGAATTGTAATACTAAGCTTTATTTTCCAAATATTAATTTCTTTGGTATTTCACACTAATATTGAAACTGGTGAAAATTAATGAATCATCAAACACAGGTAATTAAAATAAATTTCAAATCATAGATATGAATATATTATTTGTCCCGAATCAATAGGAATACACCAAAGCTCAATTTGTATATCTTCCATCTTCTATTCAAAAATGTGACTTACAGTATTGAGAGCTAACACTATACTCTGATTTCACTCCCACTGCAAAAACAGAAATCAAGAGGAAAAGATGTATTTTCATGTTTTTTCCTCTTTTGTTGTCGTCGGTCATTGGATCGGTAATGCCAGAGATAAGATGAGTGAGGAATTATTCTTATCATTAACATCATTGTATAACCATCTGGGAGTCGATAGTAATGACAAGGTCAGATAATCACTGGAAATGGATGATGCTTTTATGTACTTTGAAGAAATCGTCAATTCCTTAATGTTGGTCACTCGTCACACTTGATAACAAATTTAAAAAATAAATTTGGATTAACTTTTTTGAACTTCTCTGCAGATCTAAAAGAAAATTGAAATAATGTTTTAGTTATGCGTTTAAAAAAATGGAACTATCTTGTGAAGATTTTCTACGTCAAAAGATACATAATTCTCAGTTCTATAATGTTTATTATTAGAATTTATTCTTTTGTCTGTGTAGAACAAGATATACTTGCATTGTATGTTTGCACATCATAAACCAAGTTTTACCATAGATCTTTAAAATGAGTATTTAATTAAACAATGCAATTGTTCCAGTCTAGGTAAATTTAATACTGAAATGTGGATAAAAAAAATACATTCAAATCTCTCTCAAAATACGTCTTTCTATTAGGTTTGAAAGTGCAAGACAAAATACACTGAAAAATGAAAATGATATCATAATCAACAATGTGATTTTATTTCACCATTTTTATTCAAATTGGTGATCATATATAGTGTGAATCAATTAATAATCTGTTCCATGCAATTACTACAGTATTCTATGTAATTTGAGATTAGACTTCCTACACAGTGGCGGATTTAAGGGGGCACACCCGGCTCCCCCCCTTAAATTGTCAAAGTTAGCGTAAATCATAGTTTCGTTGAGAAAATGTAAAAATATCTACTCTATAGACCTCATTTTTACCCTACAAAATCTCTAGAATCCAGGAGCTTCCGGGGGCTTTGCCCCCTGGAACCCCAGCAGGGCTTCGCCCTGGACCCACTGGGGGCCTCAAGGCGGCCCCCAGACCCCCTGTATACTTTTTGCGCCCCCTCTAAATTCAATTCCTGGATCCGCGCCTGCTACATGAACATTTTCTTTTCGTTCCGCGACCCCCCCCCCCCGGAATTAAATTCTAAAAAAGTAAATAATACCTTTCTTTTATCCATTGTGAACAAAGGAAGAGAGGGAAGAGGAATTAAAAGAACATCTACACATATTTCTCGACAGATTCAGATGCATCGAGGACAGGATGTATTTGCGGGTACTAAACCACGACGTAGCAAATCGCTTGCATATGAATTTTACATGACGTGATTGGACATAGAAGGCGGCCTTTTCATGACGTGATGGGACATAGAAGGCGGCCTTTTCATTGGTTCAGTGGTCAGAAGTTGTCTAGCCTAGAACAAGTAAAAGATCAGCCAGAGATTTCATAGGATTATCTGTTAAGAGTTTTAAACTTGTACCAACTCATTGAAAGTTTTGTTGCCCTTAACGATATGACTTTGTGTCAACATCCTCACTCCTCGTTTGTTCATAAAAAATGGTAATAGTTGGATTTATTTCAGCTAACTGCTTTGAAAGCATGGACAAAAAAAGACAAACAGAAAGAAGAGTCTCATTAACAAATCCGAAACACGACGTACGCCTTTTGTGTCTATTTTTGTGAATAGGAATAAAGAGACGAAACATCCACAAACTTCGACAGAGATTACAAAATCACCCCAACAGGTAATAGAATAAAAGAGAAACTCTTCACATCTTCGTTTGTGAAAACTTGATTGGATGGGGATTATTTGAGATATGGATATAATTATAATTTTTATAATTTCTATGGAAAGCATCGTTGATTGTTTTGGTTCAACCAAGAACTGTTTTAGATGAAACGTGCAAATGCGTTGAATTTTATATTGACTGTCTCTTATTAATTCCAATTTCATAATGTGTATACTGACATAATTATATCATTTGTGTACACTTATATAAAAATTTAATTTTACACACATTTTATTGAAGAATACAAATACTTGTTCATACGGAAGCCGGTAGGTGCCAGGTAGAAAAATATTTTATCTGGCGGCCGCCAAATAATTATCTGGCGGCCGCCAGAAACCTATCTGGCGGCCGCCATATAATTTTCTGGCGGCCGCCAGATAACTTATCTGGCGGCCGCCAGAAACCTATCTGGCGGGCGCCAAATAATTATCTGGCGGCCGCCAAATAATTATCTGGCGGCCGCCAGATAACTTTCTGGCGGCCGCCAGAAAGTTATCTGGCGGCCGCCACATAATTTCTGGCGGCCGCCAGATAATTATTTTGCGGCCGCCAGATAACTTTCTGGCGGCCGCCAGATAAGTTATCTGGCGGCCGCCAGATAAAATATTTTTTCTACCTGGCACCAACCGGCTTCCGTATGTTCAAATGATTGATTGATTGATTGTATATTGTTTTACGTCCCATTCGAGAATTTTTCACTCATATAGAGACGTCACCATATACCGGTGAAGGGCTTCAAATTTTGACCTTTACTCGGCACTCAGGGCCATTGAGCAGTGAGGGATCTTTATCGTGCCAACGCCTGCCGTGACACGGGGCCTCGGTTTTTAAGGTCTCATCCGAAAGACCCGCAACTTTCACTCCAAAGTGCCGAGCGCATGGCGAAGGAACAGTTGCTACCTATTTTTTATCGACTTAGGTCTGTCGCGGCCGAGATTCGAACTCACGACCTCCCGATCACGGAGCGAGCGCTCTACCGACTGAGCTACCGTGAACGGTATATGTTCAAATGAAGAATTTATGTTGAAGTTTTTGATGAATTTCTTAGCAGATGCAGGTCTTCGCGGGAACAAACTAACAACGGCATGTAATTACAATGCAGGGGACGAATAAATTCAAATAGCATTTTTGAAAACTCCGTAATTTCTTTGTTTAATTAAAATATTTTTTTCCAAAGAATTATTCACAATATATTCCTATGTAATAAAGATATATATTATTTTGTGACCTACGATAGCTTTTGGGGAATTAGACATTTTTTTGTCTTAGTGGTAAGATGTTTTGTTTGTGTTGCGTGTTTCCTACATAAGAATCGTTTTGGAATACAAGAACACTTGATGGAATCCTGCACAAGCGCTGGAATTGAACTTTTACCACTGCTGACTGAATAATTCCAGTAATATATCATAGTTTCTACTGAAAATTAATTACAGGCATATAGCGGGAAGAAACACCTTGTTCAAAATCCCGCAGTTGGCTTAGAAGCAGAAGTAGACATACTTCCCCTCCCCGTCTTTTTTTTTTACTTTAAAATTTCAGTTTCACTAATTAAGGACCCTCTCTACACCAGTCCAAAATGTTTTTTGGACATTGAGAAAAATTTATTGTATAAATGTGTTAATATTGAGCTTATCTATTTAATTTTCACTATATGGTACGTGGCATTTACCCCCAGGAAAAATGTTCCAACACAACATAGTATCAGTGAATAGAAATCACTGCTGTTTACTTCCATAGAGACAATACATGTAAATAACATGTTCAATTTATTTATCTTGGCCTTTTAAAATGTTAAGAATACTTGAATTGATTACAAATTGAGTAATATACTGTAAATTTCTTTTTTTCAGAATTTAGATCTAAGGGCAGATCACTCTAACTGCAGAAAAATACCATAGAATCAGAACTCTTATGTGTGTAGTGTAGAGAGGGTTCTTAATTGACATTTTCTCTTTACATGTTAGCAACTTTATTTTGATACCTGATGTATTATGTTATACGTATTGTATATTTCGAGGGTGCTCTGTTTCCATTTCCATCAAGGATAAAAGAGTGCACGTTTTACGTGAATTTGTCAGCACATCTTGGGGGTGGGGGTGTGTTAAAAATTAGCTTTTCACACCTTAAATTATGTATAGTGCCAATATTTAATACAAAAGACTGTATGCAGAAAAATTGATGCAAGCAAATTTTTAAAAGCTTATTCATCCATATAACCGTATTCACCATGTTCATTAATTGACATAATTGACATTTTCTCTTTTGCAAGTTTATTTTTACTATATATATACAATTTGTACTTCGGGTTCGTTGCCAAGATGCTCTCAGTGGCGAATATACACATTTTGCTGTTTTACTGGTAAATGTGTTAGCACAACTCACTAACAGTCTTTCGATATATAAATATATTCACAACTTATAGTGTTATCAATTGCTTTACCATTATTTCCATGCCCAGTCCATAACCACCACCGTACTCTCTTTTTTTGCTATTTCACGGCTGTTTATCGAAAATGATAGTAGACTTTTAATTAAATTTACGATAATTAGCATGCGAAGGACATCTGAATATAGTTTACGGACATCATCTCAAACATGTATCTAGTGGAATAACAGATGATTAAGTATGAAATATGGTGGAGGCGTTTCGGAGTTTACTTGCAAAAATTATTAATTTATAAGTATAGATATTTCTTTGTCAGTGCCCATTATGTTTAAAACTTATAATCCTTTCAAGCGCCAGTGCTTTTTTGCAGATCTTTTAATAAAAGTCGTATTATTAATCTACTAATTTAAATGGTCGGTCACTTGTAGTTCAAACCTTTACATTGTTCTACCAGGTATTATCAACAATGTTTTAAGAAAACAAGCATACAAAGGTTTTTAATATACAATTTCAAAATGAAGTATGCGTATGATGAAGACTGTTGAATACTGACTGGACTTGATCTGGAAAAGAAAACAATGTTATATTCGGTTGGAAATTGAGGCTCACATTAAATTGATGCCATCCGAAAAATGAATGAAATTTAACATTGATAAACAGAAGAGATATTTTATTGCATGTTAGATTATATTATTTGAGTATTAATTCAAATAAATTATTGAACTTTGTGTAAGTTTATGTTCTATATTCACTGACTTTACTTTTTAAAGTAAATACCTATCACTGCACAGAAACTTTAACCTAGTTTTGCCATTTCTTGAAGGAAAGCTTCCGTACCAACTACAATAATTAAAGATAAATGAAATATATCTTATTCCACATATGTTTTTAAAAGTGTTGGAATGAGAAAAAAATATTAAAGATAGGAACAAATAACCTTAGTAAGATTACAAAAATTATGAAAATTTGATTGTAAAATACCTTGCTGGTTAAATGTCATTGGATTAAATGCAGTGGGACCTAAAATGTTAGTGAAATGGTTAATGTATAGATTTTTTTTTCATCAGATTCATTTTATACCGAAAGTTTTAAATATTTTCAATTAAAACAAATTGCAATATGTATAAACTCACTTCCTTGTACATTTTGCATGTTCTGCATCATCTGCATGAAACCATTAGGTCCACTTAACATTGCCTGATTAAATGAAGACGAGAAGGACACTGGATCTCCACCCGATCCACTCGAAGAGGAAAATAAGCCACTAGAACTTGATCCACCGGCAGAGGAGCCTAGATTTAAACCACCTGTATTTCCAGAAGCAATTCCACCTTGTCCATTTCCAGATACAGTATGAATATCTACAGTACTACTAGGGGAACCACTTAAGCTTCCAGATGCGCCACCAGAACCACCGCTAACTTGGCCATTCAGTGATCCAATTCCAGTATTGAGCGAAACAGCTCCTCCTCCTGTAATCCCACCTGATCCAGCATTTATATTTCCAGCAAGGCTACTTCCACCAACATTAAGATTCCCATTGGCACTACCAGATACTCCACTTGAGTCAACGTTGAGGGCACCACCAATATTTCCTAACGAGCCAAGACTTGCACTTCCAGTTGCTGATCCAGATACCTTACCACTCTGATCCACCGAGACTTGTCCACCTACGCTGAGAGGACCTATGCCCGCATGAGCCTCTACTCCAGTTGATACATGACCACTTGAATCAACGTCAACCCCAACTGACGCATGAGCAAGGGGACCGAGATTCAATCCAACACTTCCTCCACCACTGACGCTTCCGTCTTTATCAACATTAACGTGACCCCCAACTTCGACTCCATCGATTGTGACTGAACCACCTCCACCTCCACTGACTTTTCCGTGGTCAACATCAATATTACCGTTTACACTTGCAACTAGCGGAACGTCAACATTGCCGCTAGCGCTAACATGACCATCAGTTCCAACGGACGCACTGGCACCACCTAGTGGCGTGTCAATATTGGCTGATACCCCATCTTTTCCTACACTAGCCCCACCAGCAACAGTATCTACAGACACACCATCAGGTCCCACTTTTGCGCCACCAACCACAGTGTCGACTCCAACACCATCTTTTCCGGCGCTAACGCTTCCTACTGCTGTGTCAACTTTAATTCCACCAGATCCAATGTTTACGTCAAGCACGTGCGGTATAAGGAATCTTTTATCAAAACTGGATTCTATTCACAAAGAAAGGTTGATACCTGAGAATTTAATTCCTTTTTTTCAAAAGCAAACATGAAACTCTTAAGATTTAGCTGAATAAAATAAGGCAGTCGAAACAATGGTATAAAAACTTGCAAGAATCGAATTGGCGAAATGCAAAGTTTGAATAGTTTGTATCAACCTTTCAATGAGAACAAACAATCGTTTCCAAATCGCCACTCAACCGCTTCCCATGAATTTCCATGTAAAATATGCTCATCTAATCTGTTGCACTCTTCGATGCTGAATTGCTCTGTCAAAAAAGTACATGCCAGTTACTGTGATAAACAGATATAGTACTATTTTTACTAAAGTTTAGCAAAATAACATTTTGTTTTCTTTTCTTGAACAATAGATGCATGTATTACATTTTCAAGCAGTATTGTGTTTACGTTGCATTTGATCTTAGTGGTTTTTGCTTCAAAAGGTTCTTTTTCTGTTGACTAAATTGTTTTTTACATAAACATGTTATTACTAAATAAATTGTTAGGTTCAATTTACCTGTTTTCAGTACTTTGCAAACACAAGCAACATCAACTTCGCCATGGCACAGAAAAGGCAGCATGAACAGAAACACGGTTCTCAACATGGCTGTTCCTCAAACACTGCCTTAGAGTAACAGGATTTTGACTTTTAAGACCAAATGAATGTAGGTCATCAGGAAACAAAACCGATATTATCTCTAGTTGATCATTGTCTTAATAATGGAATGTCAAAGACATTTGTGATGTCATTAACGAAAGATAAGACAAATCATATGTCAGGCTTATCGAATTTACAGTAAACTTTCAATAAAACTGGTTCTTGTTTCAAACTCATTCAAAAAGATTTCGTTGTTTACATGTATTCAAAAATATTCTAAACTAACTAATTATTTTTTGTGTTACCTACGGAGCAAGACAAATTGATACAATCACCTTGCTGAGTGTCTTTTCGTGCCTCTTGGAGGACTTGTGCTTCCACAAGAGGATTGGAAGTCGTTGAATTCATATCTTAGTGAACTTCTTGAAAATATGCACCACAGTGAAAAACGATCTTCGGGTGGAATTTTTATATTTTCTGGATAAAAATCACCAGCACTTGTTTCGTATATGGGTTCATTCCTTCTTTTTTCTTTCGATCCACAAGGTACCTAATTCAATTTCAAGCAACCTGCTTCCTTTTAATTAGTTAGTATATGAATCATTAACATACTTTAAAATGACATCCTTTGCTTCGAGAGACTTTTCACCTATCAAAGAAATCATTTCAGACATTTCTGGTCGAGCCTCTTAACTACTCATTTATTCCTCGGAAATTACCTCGATACATTTTAAGACTAGGCGGGGATACAAAACTTCTGGTTGAGGTTATAAATGTAGGATAAAACCAGAGACCTCAAAATGGAAAACTCGGAAGTCTCTGGTTCCTGTGATAAAATTTTTTTTTTGGATTAATTATGACAGGTTATTTTTGTCATGCTGATCTAAATATCCCTAACAATTCCTTTTTGAACCTTGCCCAGATGTTATGGAATTATGAAGGCTGTCGATGGAAAGACGTGACATCTGTAACAGAAAACAATTTTTATAACAAGAGGCCCACGGGTCTTAACGCTCACCTGAAAAAAGTACAACAATCTACAGCTTCAGAGAAATATAAAAAAGAACAAAATAAACATTAATGGAGATCTGTTGCCCAAAAGCAAGAGAAATTAGATGATCAGAGATCAACAAAATAACTATTCTAGAACTCAGTAGCAAATTATGGAGTAGATCTGTTTGATTGCCTGTATTTGCCAATGCTACTACACTCCAATTTGTCACAATCAACATGCAGACCAAACACAACACCAATCACACTCCCTCTCACTCTGGCCTCCTTTAGTCTGTATATACATTTTATGTATAAAAAAGTATGTTTGTCTAATTTTTATTCATCTATTATTTAAGTCTACCCGACCATTAAAAACTATGAAAGTACTGTGTTTTAATTTACATTGAAAATTCTTTGATAATTCTTTTATTAAATTGACCTACCGATTACATTATTACAATGATTAATTATGATAGTGAATAGCAAAGAGGAATAACATCTCTCAGGAGAGTGAACAAATCCCAATAAAATCAATAGAGCCCTGCCAAGCACCAGAACGCTTGATCCAGTAGTCCAGTGTTCCAAAATGTCATAAAACTGATAAAAATACCCTTGCTCATTACAACTTTGTATTCTGCCCCCTTGATGCCAAGGAGCAGAGAAGAAGATTTTTAAAAAATGCATTTTTCCTATTTATTACATTTTCAACGGTGAAATACTGTGATTTATTTATTGGATAAAAGTGATATTCTCTCACAGTGTTAAAGGATATCAAAGTGATATTCTCTCACAGTGTGGAAGGATATCAAAGTAAATAAAAAATAATTATTAATTTCTGGCCTGTCATAAGATAGAGATAGTAACTAAACCGTCTTGACAGAGACTAAAACTGCCAATTTCTTCCCAAATATGTTGCTAAAATCAATGTTACAATGTTTTCAATCTCACAATTGCTAGGCTACGACGTCTCAACTGCTCAACTATGACTTCACAGCCTATGACACTGTGTTACGAAAAGACAGAGGCAAAAGTAAAAATCCAAGAAAATGTAATAAACAGAAAATTCCATGTTTTGTAGTTGGTTCTGGAATTAATTTCATTTGTGAGACAGGATTTTTTTTTTGGATATTTTACTCGTGCTTCACACTCGAGAAAATATCAAAAAATCCTGTCCCACTCGTGAAATAAATTCCATATCCAACTATAAAACATTGAATATCCTCTATATAATTGATGTGTAATTGAAAGAGTCCCGCCCTAACACCGAAATCCCCAAACTAGGGGTTATGAATTTCAAAATTTTGGAAGAGGCGCCCTTGCTTACCATAACTATGCACTTAGTTTACACTTAGTTTGTTTGCTTCATATCCAGGAGCGGAGAGGAAGAGTTTCAAAGAATTAATACCTTTCCCTATAAAATCAATAGAGCTCTGTCCTAAACCCGAAACTGTGATCCCGGGGCCATGAATTTCACAATTTTGGAACAGGTACCCTTGCTTATGATAATCATGCACGTAGTTTATCTGCTACGTATTCAGGAGCAAAGAAGATTTTCAAAGAATTAATGTATTTTCAATATATAATAAATAGAGTCCGCCCTAACACCAAAACTCCGACTTGAAATTTACAATTTTGGCATAGGCACCCTTGCTTATTATAACCAGTATTTTCATTTAGTTAAGCTGCTAAGTGCCCAGAAGCAGAGAGGATTTTTAAAAGAATTAATGTCTTTTCCGTATATATTTAATGGAGCCCCGCCCTCACACAAGAATCTTTGAACCAAGTGCCATGAAATTAACAATTTTGAATGAGACACCCTATCATAACCATGCATATAGTTGTCTGCTTAATATGCAGGGGGGGGGGGGAGGTTTTTAAAAATAATTAATGCATTTTATGTGTATGGTCGATAGAAATTATCAATAGAGCCCCATCCTAACTCCAGAGCCCCTATCCCTTGGGTTCATTAATTTTAATGGGTTTAGCCCACCCCCGGGGGGTGGTGGTGGCAGGGACCATGTAATTTACATTTGTTGTTCCCCTTTACCCATAGATCCTACATGTATATGCCAAAATTGGTTGAATTGGTTCAGCGGTTCCAGAAAAGAAGCTGAAGATGTTCCAGTGTTTACACAGGACGGACGATGCACGACGACGGACGAAAACAGACAGCAATAGGTCACCTGAGTGGCTCAGATGACCTAAAAACAATTATTGGAACAGGTTGTCAAATTATTTGCTAAATATCGGCCCTCATCATCACCACCAAAAAGGAAACAGCTAAATAAGAGAGAATACAATCTGTCATAAGGACAATCCAGACAGGAACATTTCAACCTCCTCTCTTTCCTTATAGGTCATTCTGTCCATTTTATATGTTTATATTTGCATCATTAAAAATGGACTTTTAATAAATGGCTGGATATTTATTCAAAAAAGTTTATGGCATAGACACTACATTTTTTTTATTCAAAATTATTTCAAAAGTTATACTAATTTGAAAATGTGACTTTTAAAATCTATTCTCAGTTCATGGTCTTGGGACCTGCATGGTAGACAAATCTTTATGTATATTCCATATTGACTTTAAACAATTTACTTCATACGGTGGCCATGCTGACCTAAGATTAATTATCTGATAGCAAGATAAATATTACGGAAGTCCATTATTGCCAATCTGTATATATAAAGAAAAAACTATATATAAAAATCAAACCTCTGTATATAAAGGATATGCGAAATATAAAAAGAAAACCTCGAAATATATAAAGGAAATGCGAAATATAAAAGCAAAACCTCGAAATATATAAAGGATATGCGAAATATAAAAGCAAAACCTCGAAATATATAAAGGATATGCGAAATATAAAAGTAAAACATCGATATATATATAAAAGGAAATGCGATATATATAAAGAGAAAATTTTCCACTGCGTGACCTGTATCGCTCAGCAGTTCATCATGATATACAGTTTAACTCCTGGCAGGGGAAAACCTGTATTGCGTTCACAGAATCAGCAGAATTGTTATTTAATAGTGTTTATTTATTTACAAGAGTAAATATATGTATGATTGATTGATTGACTGATTGTTGTTTAACGTCCCGTTCGAGAATTTTTCACTTATATAGAGACGTCACCATATACCGGTGAAGGGCTTCAAATTTAGACCTTTACTCGGCACTCATGGCAATTGAGCTGTGAGGGTTCTTTATCGGGCCAACGCATACTATGACACGGAGCCTTTTTTAAGGTCTCATCCGAAGGACCTTCACTTTCACTCCAAAGTACTGAGCGCTTGGCGAAGGAACAGTTGCTACCTATTTTTTATCGACTTAGGTCAGTCGCAGCCGTGATTCTATCACAGACCTTCCGATCACAATGTATGTATGTATGAATGAACTATATAATTGTGACATTACTGAATATAATATACTTAATTGAGTAGATGAGCATTTGATTTTTATATTGATAAAATTGGTAAAATGTAGGTCTTTTTGTGTGTATATATTAGTTATATTTTTTACTTCATTTTGCCGACCTTTCTTGTTTACTGTTTTACAAAAAAAACTTACCGTATTACCTTTGGCTCCACAACTGAGAAATTTTGAAAATAATTTTCAACAGGGTTTTTCTTATGCCCATAATCAAATTAATTCAGATAAATTATTAACGTAAAATACGCCCATGGATAAACCGGGAATTGGAATGGGAGAGAGTTGTAGGTACACGGTGTTTTTCCCACTTACATTTGAAAGTAAGGGAGGATAGGATTTTGAGAGATGGAGGCGAAAGTTTTCTGGTGTGAAAAAAATATGTTAGGGAAATAATAAAAAAGAAATACGAGTTGGTGCACACTTACATATAGTGCGGATTATTGATCCACGTTGTAAATATAAATAAATACGAGGGTTTATCAAAAAAGTTCGTGGACTGATGCGATTAAATTAATACATGTACTATGTTAGTCTGTGCTTACAAAATTAATAAGGAACATAAATCAACAAAAGTTTAA